AATTTCACTCTCTAAGCAATTGAAATGCGCGCTTACAGTCATTTTCAGGAAGCCTTGGCTTAACTTAAAGAAAGGGAAGAAGAAAACATCCTTTTTTGAATAATGCTGCAATACTTAGGACGAAAACAATCTCCTGTACACCCAATTTACAGCCTTTTTTGTTAAAGGTGCAGTTTAGGATTGCCATTTAATCGGGCTCGAACTTTGCTCCAGTATGGGCATGAATATCATTCCACCGTTAAAAAAGTATCGACTAAGAAATGTTGAACTGACGGATAAACAGACAGACGCCAAACACAGGGGGATCAGACAATCACTATGAAGAGCAAAAAGCTCAGTAAATTAGTCCAGTTAATTTGTCATTCAACAATTTGCAACAAAAAACTCTATAAAGTGCATACAATATCATCTTCGCTAGCCAAGGGTTTCTGATCTGCTACTCACTCAAAACCCTTGGCCTATGGTGCGAGGCCCATGGTGCTGTAAAAGTCGGGATTGTTACGTCACGTGATCTCGAATCTTACCACATTGCGCAGATTGCGTCATCGAAAGAAATAAAAAAAAAAAAGCGTATTTAAAATAAAAGTTAACAAGCAAGTATCTTACGTTGTTTATTTGTAATATAAGGTGGTGCAAAACTATATTCCTGATCATATTATATATGTGCACATATCTGCTAAAAGTTTGACGACACCATACTATTTATTATAGAATGGCACGTTGTTTACTTGTGTTTTTCATTCTCGAGACTACAGAGTCAAGATACATCCCGAACGGAGACATCGTCATTTACAAAAGCTTTCGCTCATTGCATGGTCGAACAATATCAGTGGACTCTAATCACAACTTTAGAAAAAAAAATCCCGACTTTTGATAGCACCATAGGCCAAGGGTTTCTGAGGAGAACAGCGGATCAGAAACCCTTGGCTAGCGTGAAGATAATACAATATAAATGCTTAATATTATACCGGTATATATATATATATATATATATATATATATATATATATATATATATATATATATATATATATATATATATATATATATTATATATATATATATATATATATATATATATATATATATATATATATATATATATATATATATATATATATATATATATATATATATATAGGATCTCCCATGATTTGTATCTAGTTGGAAATGATTTTTATCCAACGAGTTGTGTGTTTTTTATCCCCGAGCCTTGGCGAGGGGATAAAAACACACAACTCGTTGGATTAAAGTCATATCCAACTACAAATCATGGGAGATTCTTTTTATCCCATGTTTAATACTTCACAACCAATGTTTTACACTGTTTTATATAGGACTCCACTTTATTTTACTTCATCACGCTAACGCAAAAACCATTGTGACGTCACAACTGCACTTAACTGTGGGTTATGAAAAAAATATCCAATGAGTAGATCTAGCATCCACAACTCATTTTACGTTATGTATTACGCTATGTGACTATATACAAAACTACCAATTTTAAAAAAAATATTTAACACATTTTCATATCTCCAACTTAAAAAAATCAAATTGAACTGTAAAGGTAAATTGTTTGACAATCTAAAAATTATAATGTTATATTTTTTATTATTATACTTTCATGTTAAATACCAAAATCTGATTGATTTAGATGCATTTAACAATCCGTAATGTTACCCTCAGCGTTAGCAACAGACTTGACAACGGGTAACATAACGAAAATGTCACATGCGTTCAAATCATGCGCGTACGGTTCACCGTATAATCCTCAAAACGTCGGTTGTGCGTTTGAAAGAAGCCTAATAAACGACGTCAATAAAAGGTTGCGTCCGATGTAGCTTACTTGAAAACAACAAACGACAGACGAAACATCCTTGCGAGTGCAAACTTTAGATGATAAAGGACTTTTTGAGTAGCAAAAAAATAATAAAGAGGTTGGTAAATCTTTTCCGAAGCTTTCTTATTGAGAAAAATAGAAGCGGGGAGTTTGAAAGCTTTCTAAGCGTGAACTTAACGACGATCTCCGATTTTTTTAATGACATCCGAAATCAATAAGACATTCAGTATAATAAAATAAATAGTGCACGTTTTTGAGGGTAACAGTTGAAATTGACACCCCTTGGAAAACCATTGTCAACCTCCGCTGACGCGTCGGTTGACAATGGTTTTCCTTGGGGTGTCAATTTCAACTGTTACCCTCAAAAACGTGCACTATTTATATATTGTCGCATGCTATTTTAATTTCTTTTAAATGTTACAGCATGTTCTGAAATAAAACGTCACGAATTTAACGTGTCGTAAAAACCGCGTTATTTTATTCCGCCGTTTCCAGGACAACGGAGGATATAGTCTGCATTTTTTGTACAAAGGTAGATGCTGAAGATAATGCTGAACATAATGATACCCAGATTCTTGTATTGCCATGATAATAGATAGCCAAATGTAAGTATTTTTCGGAGAGAATTTTCACTCATTTGTCGAGCCGGTTGCATATATGTGTTACAATAATAAAAGAGAATCTTCTCTTCTTTAAGAAGCTGTGTAGATAAATTTTCCTTACATCGGCGCTAAAAAGCGATCCTTCAAATAACAACACTACATATTAAGCGTAATTACTACTTAACGTCATTTTCACGCTAGGCTACACTGTTTCGCGATGGAGTGTGTTAACTGTAACTATGGATATTCAGAGGGGGATAACTCTAAATGTCTTTCTTATGGGGTGCCCAAAGGGGTATTTTTAAAATTACATATTTTCATACTAATTATAAACGTCAAAAATATCATATAACATGAAACAATGATTAGGACTGGGAAAATATATATGTATAAAAAAAACTAAAATAATGTTATAATTTTGAAGCAGTAAAATTTATATTTATAGTTAAAATACAAAATAAAAAAGAAAGGAAAATAGGTATTTAGTGTCCCCCCCCAAAAATAAATAAATAAATTAGAATTTATTTTCTTTTTTTATTAAAGGGAATGTAAATAAATTCAATTTAGTTGCTAAATAAATTAGCTTAAATTATAATGTGTTATATACTAGATGATTGTGTTTAAAAATTTTTGTAACAGAAAATAATGATTTTGATATGAGGAATATTGTTTTACCATCACAGCCTTCATTCAGTTTGTCTTAAAGGATGACTGCACTTAAGGACATGCGGAATTTGCGACAAAATAAACTTTCAAAACAAGCATTTTTCTTTTCATTGCATGAATGGTCAACATCCAATCCACAACTTTATGTAATTACGTTTAATAAAAGTGTGTATTTACGAAGTTCGAATCTGTTTTCAAAGGCAGGGGTCATCATAATTTCTTGAATTTTCGTTCGATAATGAGGACGCCCACTTTTTTACTGACTTTATACATAGTCAGCGCATGTTTGTCTATTGTTCTACGTTTAACAGTAGTTGTATATTTGCATAAATAATACTGTGTCAAAAGGAGATTAATAGACAAACATGCGCTCATGGTTAAAAAGAGAAAAAACTGCTTCTTCTTACATTCGCTCTCCGTGTTGTAACCAAGGACTGTGACATGTTGAATATTATAATTCACCACGTGATTTCTACCTCAGGTAACTTTGTGAATACTTAATTCCGTCACGTGACTTGTAAGGTAGCATGTTTTGTGCTAACTAGGACATTGTGTTCGAACACGTTAAGTCATCTGGCATTGATATGAAATCTGCTTTAATCACATTGACGTGCTCATATTGTTAATTTCGTTTTGAAACCTTTGTCAGAAGTGTATTTGTGCCATACAGAATAAAGAGGGAGATTGGAAAGAGTGATCACGTTCGCTTTTCCAAACATGTCATTGTTATTTATCAAGTCTAATTTTAGACCCATTCTTACAATGTTAGCTCCACCTCTCATGCATATCTAATGTTCAATCAAGGGCAGGTAAGTGTAAATTCACTATATTTGGAAAGCAGTAAGGACAAAAAACATTGAATCATTTTATTGTATTACAGTCTAAAATCATTTTAAGATATAAATGTGGTTCCAAATTGACAATATTCTTTCATAAACATACAAAAGTGAGATAAGGTTTAGATATAAAAGCAACAGAAGCAACCGAAAAAGACCCAAAAACAGGTGTTAAGTGCAGTCATCCTTTATATTCCCATTAACATACAGTTTATATCCACACACTGACATGTATTATAATTTAATATATATATATTTTACTTTTACATACAACATATTAGTAAAAAATAGTATGTGCCAAGAGCGCATCATGGATGGATAGATAGATGGATGGATGGATAGAAAAAATAAGTTGAAATAAATAGTATTACTGATGCATCAAAGAGGGCTTAAATAAAAATCAAAAATATAAATAAAATGTTTTACAGGAGAGAGAGAGAGAGAGAGAGAGAGAGAGAGAGAGAGAGAGAAGGAGATAGAGCTTGTCTTAATAATTCACAGACAATTTGGACAATCTTTAATACAGATTACAGATCTTACCAGTACTTAATTTTTTTTACCTAAATATCATATAATTTAAATTTTTGTCTCCTGTTTTCCCTTTCAGAGTCTATTATATGCTGCTGCCAGTCATATTTATGACTAGTATTCTGCAAGTTTTTGATGAAATGTCCAGTTCAAGCATCAGATTTTTCAATTCTGACATTATTGATTCCCGAAAAGTATGTGGAGCATCCAAGACTGCGCAATGGGTTCTTGGAAAACTCGCAAAACTGCAATTTTACCTCCACTAAGGTAGCAATTACACGGCTATGGACTCAGTATGGGAAACTTAGAAAGACTTATGGTCTGAATGAGGGAAATAAGAAATTAAAAAATTTCCTGGATACAGAATTTGTTCCACCTCAGATATCTAAAAGTACACTCAGGATTTCTGAATCATCCTATCTAATCAGCTCAGGTGGTGATGCATCTTCCACAGCCATGTTAATTAACAAATCACTCATTCTTGAAAATCAAAGTCTTGTCACAGAGAAATCGAGATTAGAATCAGAAATGTCAAAACAAACTTCCAACATACATTGTATGAGCAGTTATTCAGAAGAAGTAAAAAAGAAAAATGAAATTCTTCACGAGAAGTTAAAGGATTCAAAGCAAGAAACCAAACGAACAAAAAGAAGAGAAGAATACTGGAAAACAAAATGTACTCGCTTAGAAACCTCAGCAGACTCAACTGTAGAGGAATGTCACAAATTCATAAGCGAATTACAAGAGGAAAATGATGACCTCAACAATGTTCTCAGAGAACTTCGGAAAATTTTAAAGGAGAAGGAGGAGGAAATTTCAGTAATGTCTGAGTTATTACAAGAAGCAAACAAAAACGACGTGATTCGCTTGTTTAATAAAAAAGAGAAAGCATTCACACCTCAGCTTCATCTATGTGTCTACACTCTTCTTGAGCACAATGTTCCTGCTACCCAGATTGGTAAGTGTTAATACTCCAGTACATCCGAGTTTGTTTGTTATGTTTGTTTGTGTGTGATTGTGTGTGCTCGTTCATGAGAGAGAGAAAGACTTCTTTCTTGTATGTACTTCTATCTCATATGTACGAGAGAGAGAGAGAGAGAGAGAGAGAGAGCATTTTGTTCATGCACCTTTTCAGTTGCATCATATTAAATGTTGACATTAAGTACTTCTCTTTATAGAACCAACTATTGAAGCATGTTTAAAGTTGGCAGGAAAAAAACCTGATCATCTTCCATGTCAGACAACTATTGCAAATATGAACATACAACGTCTTTCACTCGCTAAAAAACAACTGGAGGAAATATTACCCGAGAAAAAAAACACTACGTTACATACAGATGAAACTTCAAAGTATGGCATAAAGTATGGTGGGTTTTCGGTTCGTGACGAAGATGGATCTTATTTTGTTTTAGGTCTGCGTGAAATGGCAACCAAGTCAGCAGAGAATACTTTAGACACATTTAAGGATATTTTAGAGGATATATCTGAAGCAAATAACAAAACTCTTGAACAGGGAACAAAATTTTGGGCAGCATACAAAACACAATGAGTGATAGAGCAGCCACTGAATAAAAATTCAATGAACTACTAGAGATATATAGACAGAGCCTTCTTCCACAAATACGAAAAGATTACAACACTTTAAATAATGCTGGGAAAGAAGCAGTCAGTAGACTAAATAACTTTTTTCTGCGGTCTCCATGGACTAGTTCACATGGCAAATGCAGCACAGAAAAGTCTGTTTGAAGCAGAGATGGGAAATTTTGAAGAGAACCCACCAATCTGCCATGAAGGATTCTCAAAAGAAGGCGAATCAGGTTGCTTTCGGGTGATTCGAAATGCATGCAAAGCTTTTGCTAGGCGCGGCGATGAAAAAAGTGGGTGCTTTGGAAGTTTTAGAACATACATGCAACCGTTAAAATTTCTTCAGCAAAATGGTATCACATCCCTTCCATTACAGCCGTTTAAGGGAAATAGGTTTAATATTTTGTTTCAAAATGCAGCTTGTATCTTTTATCTCCATTCTCAAATGATTGATTTTCTGGAAAAATCCTGCATTGAAAGTAAGAGACTTCTTATGTCTGTACTTTCGGATCTTAAGGTTTCATTTTATGTTGCCGGATTGAAAGCTCTAGGTCTTATTGCAAAATTGATCACAACTCCCTTATGGAATCTCCTTGAAAGCAGAGAACTCTCCATTGAAAGTATGTCTTACCACTACCTTCGTTTATCAACGTATTTAGCAGATGCTAGTCAAGATTTGCCAGATTTTATAAAGGGAAAATTTCCTGCTTTCGCACCAAACAACTTGAATGGTGACAGAATATTTGAATGTTTGATAAGCGAATCTAAATATGACACAGACGTCGAGATCATATTAAGCATTATGCTACCCTCCATCAAGAATGTCGTTCTTCATGCTTACAAAGACCATTTACCAAATGGAAAGTACGAAACTTTTACCGAGGAGCTGTCATTACTAACAAAAAGTGTGGACAAGCACAATTCCTTTTCAGAAAGACTTTTTGCATATATGGACCAGATTTTAAGAAGTAAACCTAACAAATCTACTCTTGCAATTGAAGCCTACACCCTATTTTTGCTGAATAAAACATCTGACTGGTTACTAAGTAAAGAAGAAAATATAGATGTTCTCATTTCAGAAGCCAGGAAATCTGTACAAACGGAAAGATCTATCTTTGAAACACGGAGAAGAGAAATACAGCAAAAACGAGAAGAGCGACAAGAGCAAGAATTTCAACACAAAGCAGAAGTTCAGAGAAAAAGGTTGCATCGTCTTGAAAAACAGAGCGATGAAATTGTTTTCTATGGGTCATGGAAATCTCCGCAGGAATGCAAATTAAAAATAAAGGAGTCAATTGTGTCAGGGAAAAAATCAAGGCCATTAAAGCACAGATGCGGTACAGGAAAAATGTTTTGAAACAATGTGTTACAGAAAAAGAACTTTATAAATTTACTAAGAAAGGAGACAATGGTAAAATATACACACTCTCCTACAAAGAACTCTTTGCAAAGGATGACTGCACTTAACGCCTGTTTTTGGGTCCTTTTCGATTGCTTCTGTTGCTTTTATATCTAAATCTTATTTCACTTTTGTATGTTTATGAAAGAATCCTGTCAATTTGGAACCAAATTTAAATCTTAAAATGATTTTAGACTGTGATACAATAAAATGATTCAATGTTTTTTTTCCTTGCTGCTTTTCAAATATAGTGAATTTACACTTACCTGCCCTTGATTGAACATTAGATATGCAAGAGAGGTGGGGCTAACATTGTAAGAATGGGTCTAAAATTAGACTTGATAAATAACAATGACATGTTTGGAAAAAAGAACGTGATCACTCTTTCCAATCTCCCTCTCCATTCTGTGTGGCACAAATACACTTCTGACAAAGGTTTCAAAACGAAATTAACAATATGAGCACGTTAATGTGATTAAAGCAGATTTTATATCAATGCCAGATGACTTAACGTGTTCGAACACAATGTCCTAGTTAGCACATAACATGCTACCTTACAAGTCACGTGACGGAATCTAGTATTCACAAAGTTACCTGAGGTAAGAAATCACGTGGTGAATTATAATATTCAACAAGTCACAATCCTTGGTTACAACACAGAAAACGAATGTAAGAAGAAGCAGTTTTTTTCTCTTTTTAACCATGAGCGCATATTTGTCTATTAATCTCCTTTTGGCACATTGTTATTTATGCAAATATACAACTACTGTTAAACGTAGAACAATAGACAAACATGCGCTGACTATGTATAAAGTCAGTAAAAAAGTGGGCGTCCTCATTATCGAACGGAGATTCAAGAAATTGTGATGACCCCTGCCTTTGAAAACAGATTCAAACTTCGTAAATACACACTTTTATTAAACGTAATTACATAAAGTTGTAGATTGGATTTTGACCATTCTTGCAATGAAAAGAAAAATGCTTGTTTTGAAAGTTTATTTTGTCGCAAATTTCGCATGTCCTTAAGTGCAGTCATCCTTTGTTAAAAGTTCTGAAGTCAATATAATTTTCTGTTAGTAAGGATGATTTTTTCTTGGAGAAAATAAGGAAGTCAAAATATTTATGATGATATTATTTCGGTAGTAATGAACTTTTATATGCTACTTAGCAAAGTTGATATTTGGTTTATGTCATATTAAAATACATGTACATTATTTGTTTCTGAAATAGAATTTCTTTAATAATTGTTTTGTATGTTTGTTTATTAATGTTTGTGTTTTAAAACGATACAAAATAAAAAAATAAAAATGCAAATAGTAAAAACGTTGAAAAAATGTGATTTTTTATTATATTAGGCTGTGCTGTCAAAAACTAGTCAACGCAATGGAGAGTGCACCGTCTTTATACTTGTTCTACACATTACATATTTTTTCAACAAGGAATATTAATGGAAAACGTTATTTAAAAAAACATACAATATTAAATTGCAATTGTTGTAATTTTTGTTAATTTTCAATTTGTTTGATATTAACCACCGTTTTCCAGCTCTTTTCAATAAAAAAATATATTAAGTCAACCTTAAAAATTATAAAATATGACAAATATTTAACAAGATATAACCCAGTAAACTATGCTCTATTGTATGTTTTCTTCACCTGCTAAATAAGGTGTAATCCTCAACAATTGATATAATTTAGTGTTTTTACTGATTTTAAATTAATTTGCGATCATCTTCATTAATTTTATTGCTGACATTTTTTTTTTTATAAGCATAACGTTGGCGTAACGTTGCGTTTCTTTGGCGTAACTTTGCGTATCTATCGTGACAACTGATTATACAGGAAGTAGACCGTCAAAATCTAATGAATCAGGCCAATTTAGGTGTTTTATGCAATTAAACTTTAATAATCATGATTCTGGGTAACAGAAAAAAAAAGAAAGAGATTATATTTTTAATATCTTAACTTACATTTTGACATTAATGATACAAAATATTTACTTCAGAAAAGTGGTCACACACAAGAACAATACCCTTACATTTCGCAATCTATTTTTAGTAACAACGCTTGACCAGGAAATCCCAAAATGATATTTTTCTTAAATGATTTTTTATAAGCTTTATAGAGGATATTCAATTGTTTTGTTTTGAACATATTTTATTGCCAAGCAAAAGGATAAGAAACAAGTTCTAACAACTTACGAGTTCTTCTCCTTAATAAAACACATAATATTTGTCATGCAAAATAATAATGAAAACATATACAAATAAATGCAAATAGTATAGTATATCTAGCTAAACCTACAAGATTCATTTATGAATCTGTGAACAGCGGCAAAAATACCAATGTTTAACTCTAATGAAAAGTTTTCGTTGCCCCAGAGTAGTAGGTGTACATCTATGATATCTAAATCAAGTCGAAAAAGAAGGTCAAAAAGATTATTTCGAGCATTAAGATATTTTTTACAAACAAAGAAAAAATGATAGGCATCTTCTTGTTTACCTCAAGAACAATAAGGATTGTCAATAATATTACGTTTATATAAATCTTGGTTCAATACACAGTTGTGCCTTAATTTAGTATGGATTATGTTTGTAGTGCGTTTACCAAATAAAAAATAGGAAGGTGCTTTTGGAGCATTATCACTTATAATCTTACGAAAAGAATTAACTGAGTTGGCTTCTCTTGTATCGGTATCCAATAAATTTCATCTTTTAACAGCATCAGGTACAAATGATTTGTTAAATATTTCTAACCTGCCTCTTGGAATATTTAATTGATCTTTGTTTCGTGTATTGTATCTTGATATTTGTTCTCTTTTCTTTGGGACTATATCACGAATATATTCCGGTACATCACAATTGTTAATTTTAAACATTGTAATCATTTTTGCTTGGTAACGACGGTTTTTCAAAGGTACCCATCCTGTTTCAAAATAAAGTGATTCTCTTGAGGCTAGTATCGGAAGACCAGTAACTATCCTAGCGGCCATTAGTTGTACTTTTTCAAGTTTTTCTACATCAGATAAAGAGCAGCCATCCCAGACAATCGAGGCGTATTCAAATGTTGGTCTTATAAATGTTGTATACAGTAGGGAAAGATTTTTCCTACCTATTGAAAATTTTAATTTCTTTAATAGCCCCAATTTTCTATATGCATTATTTACAATACTATCAATATACTCAGACCAGCTAAGATTTTGTGACAATAAAATACCCAAGTGGCGATGCACCGATACATACTCCAGTGTATTGCCTTGGAAATACAAATTTGGTAAAACTGATCTATTTTTTTAAGGAAAAAAATACAACCTTTGTTTTGATGGATTAAATCTTAAAAGCCATTTACTCGACCATTTATCTAAAACATCAAGATCATGGTTTAACGTGTATTCTATATCTAATAAATTAAATGATGCATGTTGTAGTGAATTGTCATCAGCAAATAATCTACACATTGAAAGCATATTTTCAGCAACATCATTAATATATATCAAAAATAAAAGAGGACCTAGAACTGAACCTTGAGGCACACCTGCATATATATTGAGGTTCGATGATAGAAGAT